CTCAGCACTTTTAGCCTCAGACTGTGTCCAGCATCAACCCAGGCAGGGGCCATCTGCTCCCTCCAACTCAGAGTCCCTGCTTCTGCTCCTCCACAAATGCCAGCTAGCTCAGTTTGAGAAGGAGGGGTCGGTGGAGGGCTTTAAAAGACTAAATTACTGAAATTGAGGAAATTCCTACCCTCTTCTTGGTGGAGCTTCAAACAAGCCATTTATAACCAGCCGTAAAATGTTTGCAGCTGGAGTGCTATATAAGCCATTTGTCTTAGCAATGGCATTCCTGATGCTGCGGAGTATGTCCCACACTTGGAAATGTATGTTCCCTCAGAAATACCCAAAGGTCCACAGAGGACTGGCTCTCTTGTTAGGTAAAGGGAGAGAACAAGAAGGAAGACTTCTTGAATTGGATAAAGATGCCTTCAAAGCAACTCACCACCTGCCGAAATGATAGGGGCTCAATTACAAGGGTTGATTCTAATGAAGATTCCCTCAGGCAGACATGGACACATGCACAGGTTGCAAAACCTTTGTAGTTTTATTAAAATGAATATGAATTCATTTGCTGGGGGTTTCTTCAGAAATATTTTTTTCATTCTAGTCTACAGCCCTCAGATTTCCTAGTGGTCTCCCAACCAAATATTATCTAGATCCAACTCTGGTTAGTTTTTCAGGATCAGCCAGGGTTGGCTGGGGCTCTAATCTCTTGAGGCCTTATGTTATTTCCCTCAAGTCAAGCTAACCCCTGGTGATTATGTAGAACATCTATATGGTTTTCAATGTTTTGTCACTGACACTTGCCGGAATTTTTTGATGTAAATTTCCTTAGTTGACAGCTCTGGGATTTCTGGATGTCCCATCTAAATCTATATACAATCACACCCATGGTACTATCCTCAGAGATTAGTCACCATCCCCCCAGATCCTCTGAAGCCGTTTATTTGACCTGATTTTCAGCAATCAAGTTCTAATGTTTCAAGCAAAATGATCCTATAAAGTTCAGTGAAGTTACTAGCCCTTGTTGTATATTTGAATTTATTCAGCTGCTTTACCATTCATAAGTAAATTGTAGCACATCATCAACCCAGAAAGGGACCTATGTAATCAACACTCTTCAATTTATAATAGATATTCTGTCCAAGGGCAGAATATTATTATTTGCAAGCATGTATACTGCACTTATGATAAGTTCATTTGTGATTGCTGATGTTCATTAAAGCAGCTACAACTTTATCCTGATTACTCCCTGAATTCCCACTTCATTGCAAAACAAAATGCCAAAAGTTTGTAAACCTGATCAATAAAAATAAATAAAAGGCAGATGGAAACATCGTACTAGAAATGTGTTCACGAAAACATAAGAGCTGAGGCAGAGGTGCACTGCTTTCAGTCTGCAGCAAAGTCTAAAGAAAAAAAAATGTCCATGTCACAATGCTGGTTAGCAAAGACAATGTTGGTGACATCACAATATTCTGATGCATATGTACTTGTAGCTGCTGCGGGAGTCATCATCGGAGGCATTATTGTGTCATACAGTTCCAGCTGACCTGAAACTATTAGGAAACTTTTTTTTCTACATTGTATTTGCATCACCATCTTACCGCTATTGTTAGTTCATGTGCACTCTTTCACACTAAAGAGGAATTATGAGTCCTTGGGGAAAGAAACCCACTCTGTTTTATGCTCTGAAAAGTGGTATGAATTGTAGGCATAAGCCATAAATCAGCTTTCCTCAATTTATTGTCCTCTTGATGTATTGGAACAAAGCAGACAATCCATGGCTAAAGGCTAAGGATTAGGGGAGTTGTAGTGCTAGTTTACCTGGAGGGCAACAGCTTGGAGAGATAGTATCTAAATACCATATACTAGTTCTTACACGCCACCAGAAGGAAAGCATTGTAATTTATAAGGAGGCACCCCAATTAAAGTTTACCCCAAATTAAAGTTTAGCCCAAAAGTATGGCCATGAAATGTAAAGCTATAAAAAATATAAATCTACCCTGCTCATGCCCAGAGGCACTCCCTATTACTGAAGTCTGGTTAGTTGGAAAAGGAAGAGGAAAAGGTGAATTATTACATGACCCGACAAAAGCGCGAACGTCATAAGCGCGCCGACAACACCGCGGCGCTAAAACCACGATGTCAAAAGCGCGCCGACAGAAGCGTGATTTACTTTAAGGTAAGATTTACATTTAGGTTTAGGTTTAGGTTTAGGGTTAGGGTTAGGGTTAGGGTTAGGGTTACTTTACAGCGCGCTTCTGTCGGCGCGCTTTAGGGCTAGTCGCTCATCCGTCACNAAAAAAGTGACTTATGACCATTTTTCACACTTAAGACTGTTGCAGCAGATTCTTGGCAATTGACTCATATTTATAACGATTGCAGTGTCCCCGGGGTCATGTGATCACCTTTTGCAACCTTCTGACAAGCAAAGTCAATGGGGAAGCCAGATTTCCTTAACAACTGTGTTACTAACTTAACAACTGCAGTGATTCATTTAACAATTGTGGCAAGAAAGTTCGTAAAATGGGGCAAAATCCACTTAACAACTGTCTCACTGAGCAAGAGAAATTTTGGGCTCAATTGTGATCATAAGCCTAGGATTACCTGTCAATCAACATGCCAATTTACTTGTTGTTGTTTTTTTGTGCTGGGATCCTTAGGAACCTGGATTCCAAGCAATTTTTACTAATATTAAGTAGTATTGTAAACTTTGCAGAAAGCGTCTTTTCTGTAGCTTATCTTATTTTAATCTTCCTGATCCATTGCTTCTGGGTCTGTCTGTTTGTATCCAATCCTCTCGCTCTTTGCACTTCTCATGAAGCAGTGTCATTCACACTTGAGCAATATCATTTAGGGAGTTAAATGACTCCGCTTTCTTTAGTACCTCATTATGCCCTGCATTTCCTGAAGTGGGAAGGAGAAAGGGTTTGAATCTTGCAGCCCCACCTCTAAATCTGACACTGTTTTCTAGCTAAACGATTGCGTGCGCTTTGCTAAGGGAAGTCAGGAAGTTCCAGTGGTGGGAACTGGTCCTAGGCACAAACCTTCTTCAGTTCTTGTTAAAGAAGCTGATAACTGTTTCCTGTTGCAGCAATGTTCAGAATTTCCTTTGCAGGTTCGGGTAATGGGGCACTGGGCTGTCACATCTAGGCACTGCACAGTCCACGGTTTCATACTTCTGGTGGCAGCTGACGCACTTCTTGCTATAAGGAACTATTAATGTTTTCCTTTTTCCTTACTGAAAGAAGCTGCAGAGACCAAGATTTACTGAGGGCAGCCAGCCTTCCTCAAAACATCTTACACCGGTAGCAGAGGTGGGTTGCTGNGGGTAAAATGAGGACCCAGATTGTTGGGAGCAATATGCTGACTCTGAAAACCGCTTAGAAGGCTGTAAAGCAGTATATTAAGTCTAAGTGCTATTGCTATACTTTTTTGATAGACAGCTGTCCAGTCTCTCCTGAGACGCCTCCAGTGATGTGGGGGAGGGGATCCACGATTTTCGAAGGCAATTTGTCCAACTACTATTTCCCCTCTCGTCTTAGGGGAAGCATAGTCTTCTTGCTCCTCCAACGCTCCGGGCTAAAGCCGAGATTCTCCCAAGAAGCGTTTTGATTTGCAGCAAGCCAGCGAAAGAGTTAAAGCGCCACATTTCCCAGCCAGCGCTCAGGCAGCCCGGGCGGGGTGGGGCCGCTCCAAATGAAACCGCTTTGAAAGCGAGCTAAGAGGGAGCGAGCGCGAACTCCCATCGGGCGGCGGGGGAGGGAAGGAGGGAGGGAAAGAAGGAACTCAACACTCAAAAACTCCATCCCCAGGTATTCCCCTGCGACGCGGCTGCGAGCCTGCACCCGCTGGGCGTGTGTGTATGTGTATAAATATACATCTAAGACTTTTGCTTTTCCATGTTGTAAACACCCGCGATGGGTGCCAAGAAAAGAGAGAAGGGCGGGGGGGCAAGGAGGGAAGCGATTTGGCAGCTGCTCAAAGAGGAAAAAGGGAGCGCAGGAGGATCCGCTGGGGACACCCTTGGGTGTTTGACAGATCTCTCCGACACAGCCGCCTCCACTTCCAGATTCTCCGGAGCGTCTGAAAATAAAGGCACCGCTTCGTCTAATCCGCCTCCCCCTGCCCCCACCCCCCTGACTGGTCTGCCCCGCTTTGGGATCTGGTTGCATCTGATCTGGTGGAATGGAAGGCGAATTTCAAGATTCTTGGCGCGCGCATTTTATCACAACTCCCCACCCCCCCACCCCCCAAAAAAGGAGGGGACGAAAGTTAAAATCAGTCCACAGCTGTCTGGCTTTTAAAGGATGAGCATCACCTCCTGTTCCTCTCCAACTTTCAAATTAAACATAGCCTCTCTCAGATATTCATTCTCCTATACTTTCTGTACACACACGCGCCTACTCAGGCCCTTTATAAAAAAGAGAGAAAGAGAGAGAGAATGAAAAGGAACTTCAAAGTTTCCTCCTCATCTGGTGTTCATAATGAACTTCCAAGTCAAGACAAAGAGCCACAAACTGGAGGTATTCCCCAGTTCCCGAGAAAGTGAACTCTCTCCCGAGATCAGAAGCGAAGAAAGGCGGCGGCTGCAAATGTTCCCAAAAGACAATCACGCCTGTCCTCTTCCCATCAAAAGACCGAGGGGGGGGGGGCAGCGAGGGAATGGCTTGGTTCCTCGTATTATCCCTCTTCCCCGATGCCAGTATCCCCTCTTTTGCAACTCTGGAATTCCAAAGCAGGAAACCAAAAAAGTTGGAAAATTAGGTTCGAATCTACCACGCAATTCCGCCTACGCAGCAAACAGCGCCCCCTAGCAGGATGCCCCTCAGATCCACTCGTGCTCAAGGCCCACGAGAAATTTATTCTATGCCCGCTCTACATTTACAACCCCACCCGCATCGACACTCTTCGGAAAACGAACCCATCGCCTCGATCCATACCCTCCCCCCCCCCACTCCCCCACATATACGACCAGCATTAATGCCGATCGGCGACAATCCACCTACATTGTAGACTGGCCGGTTGGGGCCACCCGAAGGGATCCAAGCCCAAGGCAAACGGACTGATGCTCGATTTCCGCAGCATGCAAGCGCTCCGGTTAGTAACATCGTAGAGCTGCCGCGGCGTGACGGCGAATGCCTCCATGCAGTCGTACATCTTTCCCCTCCGGAATCCGCTTCCAATGGAAATAGGCGAGGGAGAAGGAGGATAGGGTGGCGAAAATATGGATGGTGGTGATGATGACGATGATGATGATGATGATGATGCTACTAATAGTGAGCTTGTGCTGGTGATCCAAGAAGAAAAGGAAATGTTCGCCTCCCTCCCGGAGAGGCGGCGGGAGGGGGGAAGAGGAGGAATAACACGGGCTGCTATCAAACGAGCCCGTTCGCGCTCACACGCCACTTTCTCGGCGTCCCGCGTGTAATACACGTCCCGCGTGAAGTTGGGAGCTGAGAAGTCCAGCCTTTCCTATCGCTCCAGCTTGCTCGCTGAAGAAGCTGTTACCTTGCCGCGAAAGCGGCTAAGGACTCCCCAATTGGTGGGTGTGGCTTGGGAGCGAAAGGGGCTGGACCCTGTGGGACGGATGCACAAAATCTGACTACACACAACAGTCACATACGGGGGCATAACACGCCGAGCAGGACCTAGGAAACGCGCCCAAACAGTGATTTGGCAAGCGCGCAACAAGGAACAATAGGCAAACGCGCGCGCACACGTAGGCAGGGCTGTTGTTGGCCGTGTGAGTGTGGGTTTGGTTTGGTTTATTTTGTTTTTCCTCCTTTCTGTTGCCGCTTCTCTTTCCCAAGCCGCACCCACGATGGCACTCAGAATGCAGCAAGCAGAAGAGGATTGCGAAGTTTTGCAAACGGACCAGAGTTGATACGCGTATTTATGCGGAAGAGAGTTCGGCGGAATTGGGGGCTGAGTAAACACGCGTGCATTTTGGGAGGCCAGGCTGACAGATCGACCACAGAGGGAACACCGCATTTTTATAATCCGAAAGGAGATGGCCCTATCATTAGTCTGGAGTTCAGTAAACCTATAAAACAAACCGATTTGAGGATAAGGTAGAGATCTGAGGATTAAGTGAGGCATGATACAACCTGGCCTGACCTCTCAAATTAGCTCCCTATTTCCATTGTGCCTGGAAGGTGCTGCCTGCCCCCATGATGAAGGTTGAGTAACTTTGAAAGTTGATCCCAGGGAAGTTGTCACCCTGCTACAAATAGCTGCTTTTTCTAAGCCTGCCTCTGCCAGGAAAATGTAAAAGGACTGAAAAAGGGCTCACACTTCTGTATTCACAGAGGGAGAATGGCTGAATAGAAGACACCAGCCTGCCCTGAAAGGTGAGAGGGAAAATAGGTACCTTTCCTTTATAATCCGCCTAAGAAGTTTGGCAAAAGTTATGAGCAGAGAATTAATATAGGAAACTCCACTAAAATCCATATAGAATAAATACAAGGTAACCCATCAGCAACTCAAAATTGGGAATAGATGGTACAGGTAGTCCTTGACTCACTCACTCAACTCACTACATTTGAAGTTACAACGGCACTGAAAAAAAGTGACTTATTACCATTTTTCACACATGACCGTAGCAGCATTCCCATGATCACATGATCAAAATTCAACCGCTTGGCGACTCGTTCGTGGTTATGATGGGTGCAGTATCCCCAGTGGTATTCGATCATCTTTTGCGACCTTCTGACAAGCAAAGTCAAGGGGGAGGCCAGATTCACTTAACAACCATGCTACTAACTTAACAACTGCAGTGANAATAGAATAGAATAGAATAGAATAGAATAGAATAGAATAGAATAGAATAGAACAGAACAGAACAGAACAGAACACTTTATTGGCCGTGTGATTGGACACACAGAAGGAATTTGTCTCCAGTGCATAAGCTCTCAGTGTACATACAAGTGACAAGTTGACAATCATGATCATAAAATGCAATAGTTATAAATCACAGATACAGCACTCAGTGATAGGATAGTGATAGGATATTAAAGCAATCAACATAAAAGTTACAGTCATTAAGAATCTAGGGAAATAGAGAATAGGAAATAGATGAGAAGGGTAATAAGTAATAACACCCTTACTAGCTGGTTTGACATCCCAGGGCATAGGCATTGTTATGGGAATTAATTGTTTAATACAGTGACAGCATGGGGAAGGGGTGGGGGTGGATCTGTGTTTGTGCCTGGTTGTTTTGCCGTGCAAATTATAAAATGCAAATTGCAAATATGTCTTTTATAAAATGTGCACTGCAATCTGTATAAACCTAGGATTTATATTTATCGAGTCAGGAGTAAGCGGTCAATGCAAACCCAGGCGGGGAATTACCACCGACACAAAATTGCCCCCCGCCCGACACGCCCAGAAAGCCTCGGTGGGGCTGCAAAGTGGGGCGGAGGGCGCCCGTGGAAGGCCGGGGACTCCCCCCCCCCCGTGCGCCCAAGCTCCCCGGGTGGAGTCGGGATACCTTGCCGGCCTGCGTGGCCGCCGTCAGGCACGGGTGGGTCCCGTCGTACCTGCCCAGCGCTACGCCGCGGGGCAGGATTTTGTGGTTGAGCTTCAGGCTGAAGACCGGCACAAGCATGGCGTCGGCGTCGGCGGCCGGCCTGGGCCGCTCCGGGCGGCCCGCTAAGCGAGGGAAGGATCCGTTGCTATGGAAACCGCAGCAGGCCGCAAGCCAGGCCTGCGAGGCGGCAGTGGATGAAAGCAGCCTCTCTCGCGGGCGCTAATTTAATAACCGCCCCCCGCCCGCATCTTTCCCCTCCCGAAATACTACTCCCATTAACCCCAGCCGGCCGAGGAAGATGGGAGTTGTAGTCTGGGAACGGTCGGAGCGGCGCCCGCATCGCAGCCCAGGGAAGATGGAGGTGGATTCAGTCCCTTCCGCCCTCCCATTTTGAAAGAGTTCGGGATTCCTAGAGAAGTTAGTTGGGCCTGGTTTAGATTCGCTGTTTTGGAAAGCACCGATTGGGGTTGTTTTGCTCTGCAGGGAGCAACGTCGTGATTGGCAGGGCCCAGCCTGGGAGCCGCTAGGATGGGAGGCCACCCAAAAATCCTACCCCAAAATGAGGACTAACCATTGTATGCATGCATGCGTGCATGTGTGCAGGACCAAGGCAGAGCTTTTGTGCTATCCTCAGCAGAGGGCAGCCTGCAGCTGAGTTTGAAATTGCTGAACAGGGCTAGATCTGGTTTGGGCTTGGATGGAGCACCAACAGGAAATCCTACACATCAGGGTCCTGTCCCCCCCAAAAATGGCAAACTATTTGTGTGCTGCTGAAAAAAAAGTGCCCTGTTGCATGTAAAAAGGCCCCCACCTCCAGGATTCAACCAGCTCTGATTTAGAGTTTACAGGATGCTTGGATGGAAGGGCTGTAAACCAGATTAAGAAAAGCAAACGTGGCCAATCCTCACATGTTATTTTCAAAAACTACTACTAACATGTCTATATGCAACTCAAGGGTATCAAAAGATTCAGCAGATGGGAATAGCATCAGGGTGATGAGTAAATGGATGGGAGACCACACAAAGTGCTAGAACTGAAGGCTAACCCTACAATAGCATTTTTTTCTTTTGGTAAGCAGTTTTTGGGGCAATGTTTCTCAGTCTTGGCTATTTTATTTTGGTTGCTGGAACTGGGTATTACTAGTCTGATGAAAAGAAGAACTAGGGGAGACATAATAGCAGTATTCTAATATCTCAGGGGCTGCCACAAAGAAGAGGGAGTCAACATATTTTCCAAAGCAGCTGAAGTCAGGACAAGAAGCAATGGCTGGAAACTAATCAAGGAGAGAAGCAACCTAGAACTAAAGGAGAAATGTCTTTAACAGTGAGAACAATTAATCAGGGGAACAATTTGCCTCCAGAACTTGTGGATGCTCCAACACAGGAGGCTTTTAAGAAGAGATTGGACAACAATTTATCTGAAATGGTATAGGGTTTCCTGCCTAAGCAGGGGGTTGGACTAGAAGGGCTCCAGGGTCCCTTCCAACTCTGTTATTCTATATTGTAAGGTCATTGCCAGGAAGGCATTCTCCATATTCAGTATTTTCAATGGAACTGTTCCTCAAACTGAATTCAGTTTGATTACTTTGGAAAAGCCTCTTCATCATCTTTTCACCCTCTAGATGATAAAGATTTCTCAGGAAACCGAACAACACAACAGCTAGTTTCACTGGCTTTGGCATAGTCACTTTTCTTGTTCTGCTTGTCTGCAACAATTCCTACAGAAAGTACAGTAATATACCTTCAAGGGTTCCTTCCTTCCCAAAGTGATAAGATATTCCAGTCCTCTGCCCAAAAATAAAAGCTTTTTTGTAGCCAAACATATTGTTGTAAACGCTGGGCTGTGACCGTAATAAAAAATATTATTATTACATATTGTGTAATTTAGATGCTTCTTTCTCTGAGCTCTAATTTTGGTCATGATTGTCCTAATATTTTAGTATGATCATCTACTGTATATTATAGCATATATGTGTGCATTAAATATCTCTGTCTTTTCACACACAAGACACATGAGCATATATCAGAATTAAAAAGTATAAAGCTGACCATTTTTGAAGAGTGATGAAAGAATATGAGGCCTCCCCAGAGACTGAAGCCAATTATTAGCAGCTAAAATGGCATAATAATAATACAATTTACTCTTAAATTAGATGGACCAGAAGGCAGGACAAGAAGCAATGGATGGAAAGTAAGCCAGGAGAGAAGCAACCTAGAACTAAGGAGAAATTTCTTGACATTGAGAATAATTGATCATTGGAGCAACTTGCCTCCAGAAGTTGTGGGTGTTCCAACACTGGAAGTCTTTAAGAAGAGGTTGGATAGCCATTTGGAATGGTATAAAGATACCAGACAAGAGATGCTTGTTGGTGGTGCTTAAAATAAGAATTGTTGAGATTTTCAAACTCTCTGAAAATAAGTATAAGTGTAATCTTTATTGTCATTGTACTTAAATTCAACTAAATTGGTTTTAACTTCACTGGTGCAAAATTACGGCAGAAACTAAAAAAGAAAGAAAAAGAAACTAACTTGTGCATGGAGTGATTGTGCTTGTATTTAAAAGTCTGACAGCCCAAGGATAGAAACTATCTTTAAACCTATTTGTTTGGCTGGCTATACTTTGATGCCTTCTGCGCGATGGTAGA